AGGTTTTGAAGAAGAGACTGGACAGTCACATGTCTGGAATAGAATAGGGCAGTGATGGCTAACCTTTTTGCCATCACATGCCAAAAGTGGGGGACCGCGGGGGGGGGGGTCACACAAGCACGTGCCCACACCCATAATTCTATGCACCCCGCCCCCAAACATGTGTGCATGACCCCCCCCCCCACGCTTCCCCCGCTTTTGGCACAGTGGGCCCGGTAGGCCCATTTTTTGCCCTACCCAGGCTCCAGAGCCTTTCTAGGAGCCTGGGGAGGGCAAAAATGGCCTCCCCACCCTCGGAGGCCCTCCGGAGGCTGGAAACGGCCTGTTTGCCGACTTCCAGTGGGCCCAGAAGGCCTGAAAATCAGCTGGCCGGCGCGTGCATGTGCGCCGGAGCTGAGCTCACATGCCCACCGATATGGCTCCACGTGCCACCTGTGGCACACGTGCCATAGGTTCTCCATCATGGGTATAGGGTCTCCTGCTTGAGCAAGGGGTTGAATTAGAAGACCTCCAAAGTCTCTTCTAACTCTGTTATTCTATTATTCAGTTATTCTATTAACATCTTTCTTGTTCCTCCTTCATTCTTTCAATATTGACATCTATGGGACAAGGCATAGAGCTACCACCAACCTACTCATTCCTATCTTCAGTGACCCATTAGCAACCTATAGGAGACCTATTTATACATCTGAATGTCCCTTTTAGTCATTCCATTCACAATTTAACTTATATCCACCTCTACTCGCTTCGGTTATATCTTTCTTCTTCTTTGTCTTATTTTCACCAGCACATTTTCTTCCCTTTCTTTTCCCCTTTCCCTGTGGCAATTAATTAAATCAGTCAGATAAGAATGTATTTTTAGGATGCAGCAATTCCAACAGACATGGGGAGGCAGGCAATAAGAGTTTAAAATTAGTACAGTAATAATTAAAACAGGCATTGGGGTTGGGAGGCTACAATGAGATTTTAGGATGAGACTCTGGAATGGTATGTGGTGGGCGGTTTTTGTGGTATAACTGGGATTTTATGTAGTTTAATTTTTTGTAATTTGATGGAGTCCCATGTCTTCATTTTGTTTGCTGCCCAATTTCTCAGATAGATGGATGGCCATATATGTTGGATACAGTGGTGGGTTTCAGATTTTTTTACTACCGGTTCTGTGGGCGTGGCTTGGTGGGCGTGGCAGGGGAAGGATACTGTAAAATCCCCATTCCCTTCCCACTCCAGGGGAAGGATACTGCAAAATCCCCATTCCCTTCCCACTCCAGGGGAAGGATGCTACAAAATGCCCATTTCCTCCTAATCAGCTGGGACTCGGGAAGCAGAGAATAGATGGGGGCAGGGCCAGTCAGAATTTTTACTACTGGTTCTCCGAACTACTCAAAATTTCTGCTACCGGTTCGCCAGAACTGGTCAGAATCTGCTGAAACCCACCTCTGCTTTGGATAATATAAATACTTGTAAAAACAACATGTCAGTGAATTAATTAATGCTTTTTTTTTTTTTTTACTATTTGTTCTTTTTATATTCTAAGCTGCCACCTTTTGTAGGCCAAGGCCATCTGCAGTCAGTTTAAGAGATTGATCCCTGCCAGCTATCACCATTTCAGTCAACTGAGGCTCTCTCATCATCTTTTTTAGTGTCATCTAAACCTGCTTGCCAGCCTTAGATGTACCCAAGTCACATTCCAGCTAATGGAAAAAATAAGGTTCATTGGTTTGGACATATTTTGCCTAGCACAGATCCCAAGAAACGGACGTTTTCTGAACCCATAACCCATTGACCAGGAGATGCAATTCAGGATACTAATTAATTGATTATGATTGTGGAAAATATAGCACTATAGCAATAGCATTTAGACTTCTATATCACTTTACAGTGCTTTGCAGCCCTCTCTCAATGTGTAATCCCATTGCAAACTGGTAGTAAAGGATATATATATATCTGTGTATATATATATATATGTAGGTCTTTGGTTATTCAGGTTTTCTCCCGCGTAAAATTGGAGGTGTCTTGGCAACTTTTCGACGTTGCCAAGACACCTCCAATTTTACGTGGGAGAAAACCCGAATAACCAAAGACCTACATACAAACACCTGCGAAAACCTCAGAAAACAAATATATATATACATACATACATATATATGTGTGTGTGTGTGTGCGTGTGTGCGTGTGTGTGTGTTTTTTTCCTCTAGCCAGGTTTTCCTACGTAACCAAGGTTTTTCTGCAGCCCTAGCTCAGTAGAATCACATCCACTCGATTCTGGGCTTTTTTTTCTTTCTGGCAGCCAGCAAGTTCTGGTGCCAGGTGAGAGACTTATATAGATCTATTTCTGGCTCATTAGCCATCATCAGTAAGCCACACCCACATCTCATGTATCCTCCCTGTAAAGGTACAGTATCTATTTTCTTACTTCTTCATAGGTTTTATTTATAAATCCTATGAACAAGTAAGAAAATATATATATATATATATAATGTAGAATTCCATAGGAAGGACTGTGGTGATTATAGTTCCTTTTCATGTGTAAGAATATCTCTTTTGCACAGACATTTGTGTGTATGTGTAAACTTTTAAGGCAGGGATCTCCAACCATGGCAGTTTAAGACTTGTGGACTTCAATTCGCAGAATTCCCCAGCCAGTATGGCTGACTGAGGAATTCTGGGAATTGAAAGCCACAAGTCTTGAAGTTGCCAAGGTTGAAGATCCCTCTTCTAAGAGATCCCTCTTCTAAGAGATGGTCCCACATGTGCAGTGTGAAAAATGTTAATTCCCTTGGGTCACAGTTTAATATGTCTTATAGAAAGTCTTCAGAGGATGGAACAGAAAATTGAATCTGAGACAAGAATTGAGTGTTAGAACTTAATAGAAAGACCAGTGGTGGGTTTCAAATTTTTTTACTACCGCTTCTGTGGGTGTGGCTTGGTGGGTGTGGCTTGGTGGGCATGGCAGGGGAAGGATACTGTAAAATCTCCATTCCCTCCCCACTCCAGGGGAAGGTTACAGCAACATCCCCATTTCCTCCCAATCAGCTGGGACTTGGGAGGCAGAGAATAGATGGGTGTGGGGCCAGTCAGAGGTAGTATTTACCGGTTCTCCAAACTACTCAAAATGTCCGCTACTGGTTCTCCAGAACTGGTCAGAACCTGCTGAAACCCACCTCTGAGAAAGACTCTTACTTGGAAACCATTTTTGGACTTTGTGTTTGAGGTGGGGGGAAAAAATGAAATGTTGACTTTGGGTTTTGCTGAATAGACAAGTTTGTTGTTAAAGAAATGGCTGGTATATATTAGTATGTAAAAGTAAAAAATCAAGGTTGTATGTCATTATCTTATCCTACTATGCTAAAAAGAGTTAGAAGGCTTTTCTCTTCCCCTTTATCCTACACTTTTTCTTCTTCCCCTTTTCCTCTCATTTTCCATTATTTTTATTGGTATCTCTGTATTTTATACTATGATTAATGAATAAAATACTTAAAATGAAATGGACCAGATAGTCTCCTTCAAGAGTTCATGTCATGCCCCAGCATATCACTTTTATATGCTGTTGTTGCTCTCTAGCTCCATCTAGTGCCTGGAGAGACAAATACCAAGTATATTGTTTGAAGCTGATCTACCACTTTACCCATCAGCCTGCACTCTCAAAACAAGTGCACGTTGGAAAGCCAGACTCCATTTCCTTTAGCATTTGGAGAAGGCAGAAGCACCAAGAAGAATCCACCTTAATCTGTGGCACATGATCATCCAAGGGCAAACCCACATCCCACACACAGAGCATCGCTGGTGAGATTTAAATTACTTCTATTTATTAATATAAGGACACAGTGGCTCAGTGGCTAAGATGCTGAGCTTGTCGATCAAAAGGTCGGCAGTTCAGTGGTTCAAATCCCTAGTGCCGCATAACAGGGTGAGCTCCTGTTTCTTGTCCCAGCTTCTGCCAACCTAGCAGTTCGAAAGCACATCAAGTAGCAATGCAAGAAAGCAATGCAAGTAGAAAAATAGGGACCACCTTTGGTGGGAAGGTAACAGCGTTCTGTACGCCTTTGGTGTTGTTTTGATTCCGACCCCCGAGCCCATCTTATCAGAGGGAGAAGACTCCAAAAGTGAAGGAGAGGAGTTGGCAAGGCCTCCCTCTCCAGGACCCTCTTCTCTGGAAATGCCTCAGGTGTCCTCTGAAGGCCAAGAGATAGGCCAGGAGCCAGGCACTTCCGAGCAGCCGCAGTTAGACAGCGACGGAGATGAGTCTTGGCTGGATCCCCGACAGCGTCGGAAAGACAAGCACACGCAGCAGAGAAGGAGGCGTGCCAGAGATTAAGCTGAGTCACTGGACCACACCCCACAGGGGATAAAAGGGGGTGTGGTGGCCATTCAGGCCTTGTGACGGACAAAACTGAAAAGCTAGCAAGTCATACTGCGTTTCTGGAACTTCGTTATATGCCCTCCTTGGATTTATTATGGATTGGACTTGACAATTCTTTGGCTTTGTGGATTTATTTTAGTTTATCGGATGGAGGAGAAAAACCTCCCTTTGTGAGTAAAGTTTTTGGCAGGCAGCTGGTTTTATTAACTCCTGGCTGACTGTTTGTGTGTGAGTGTGAGATGGGGACAGAACAGGTGTTTAGTCACGCCAGCCACATGACCAAGGAGATGTTTTTGGACAGTGCTGGCTCTTCGGCTTTGAAATGGAGATGAGCACCGCCCCCTAGAGTCGGGAATGATTAGTACATATGTGCAAGGGGAACCTTTACCTTTATTTATTAATTGTCAGCAGTAACTCAGTTACTGCCTGTCTGCCTTACTGCTCAGACTGCCTGTCTTGTATTTAGTTCTCATTGTACGTATTCCTATTTTCCCCAGTTTCACCATATCCTGTTCTTTCAATAAAGCATTCCGATCTACACACACACACGGCCTGTTTTATTGGAGGATAGGTGGGTTTAACTGCATGTCAAGCTGCACGTCAAGCTGCACACAGACTAACGTGTAGTGAGGACGGAACAGTTCATATGAAATATTTCCTCCTCCAATTTTATTTGTGCAAGTGGATCTTGCAGAGAAACGATTAAAGAAGATTTTTCTGGAGCTTAGTTGAAGATCATCCACCATACCAACTCACCACGGAGGCAAAAATCCTGTCCTTGTTATTCAACTGAGGGCAATTTTGAAAACTGACTTCGGATAACTTACCTGGCTTTTAGCCTCCTTCAGCACTGCTAAGCTAACCTTTTTTTTTACAGAGGGATAAGCAAAACGCGGTCTATAAACAGACTTTCAAATGGGCAGCCTTGGTGGTAAGGCATTTCAGCATCGTTCACAAAAAAAAAAATGGAGACCGTTGTGTCATAGGTCCTTAGGAAAACTGTCTTGAGCAGTGTGATGAAAATGGAGGTCGCTGCCCAAGAGCTTTGCAAAGACCGATCAGGTCAGAAGTTAGAATGCCAATCTCAGGATCTCTGCTTCCTGCTTCTAATTGGAACATCTTTAATTCTGTCACCAGGCCCGAGAGGACATATAGGAAAAAATGAGAAATGTTTCTAGTCAAGTCATAATAAAACTTGACTTCCTCTCAGAAGTGCTGACTGCCCCCTTCTCCGCCGTTAGCTCTCTTTCTCCACCAGCATCTCCCAAGAAGCCTTCTAGACCTGACACATCCAGCATGGAAGGTGAGTGCCAGAGACCTTTTGACTTCACAACCAGCTTGAAACTGATCCAATAATTTTTTATTGTGATTTCTTGCTGGCCTGCTATTTTGTTTGTTGCTCCTTTTAGACCTTCCAATATCCATTCATTACGCTTCCTCAATACTCATGAGCACAATAATCTTCAAGAAGGTGGTTTGGGTGTTTTTTTTTTTTTTAAAGTTCTTATTCTTATTTACGCATCACTTTTTAATACAAATTGTGGATCAAATGTTGTTCATCCGGACCGAAGCAACATTTGGCAGATGTTTTGACACTCCAAAGCAAATTCCGTACAGTGTATTTTCTTGTCAAGGATGCTTTTAAGATGCCAAGGCTTATGAAGTTGCCCAGTTATCACACTGCCAAAGCAACTGAAATAAAAGAACAGAATTTAAGCTAACAGGATAGACCAGGGAACTGCGCATAAGCTGAGTTCTGACAGCCATGCAGAATAATCACTCTTTTTCAAGACATACAAAGTAAAGCAGTTTGGCAAAACGATCAAAATGCAGATGAGTCCAGACCAAAAGGCAGAGGAAATTAACCTACTTAAATTTCATTCAAATTACAATAAATTAAATAAATACCAAGAATAGGATTGGTGTCCATGTATTTTAATATGTGGAGCCCTGGTGGCACAGTGGATTAGAATACAGTATTGCAGGCTAACTCTGCCCGCAACCTGGAGTTTGATCCTGACAGGCTCAAGGCTGACTCAGCGTTCCATCCTACTGACATCAGTAAAATGAGGACCCAGAGCAATATGGTGACATTGTAAACCACCCAGAGAGCGCTGTAAAGCACAATGGGGCAGCATATAACTCCAATTCCTATTGCTACTGCTATTAATAATGTTCCTCTTGACTCACCACAGAATGGAGTCGGAAGCTAGCCTTTCTTAGCTGATCTTGGAAAATTAAGCCAAGTTGGAACTACTGCTTAGTACTTGGATGGAATTCACCATAAATACCTTGGCTGGATGGGAAACCAGTTGCATATTGTTTTCAAGAAAAAGAGAATAGAATGGAAATAGAAATAGAAATAATAGAAATAGAAATAGGAATAGGAATAGGAATAGGAATAGAAATAGAAATAGAAATAATAGAAATAGAAATAGAAATAGAAATAGAAATAGGAATAGGAATAGAAATAGAAATAGAAATAGAAATAGAAATAGAAATAGAAATAGGAATGGAAATAGAAATAGAAATAGGAATAGGAATAGGAATAGAATAGAATAGAATAGAATAGAATAGAATAGAATAGAATAGAATAGAATAGAATAGAATAGAATAGAATAGAATAGAATAGAATAGAATAACAGAGTTGGAAGGGACCTTGGAGGTCTTCTTGTCCAACCCCCTGCTTAGGCAGGAAACCCTACACCACTTCAGACAAATGATTATCCAACATCTTCTTAAAAACTTCCAGTGTTGGAGCATTCGCAACTTCTGGAGGCAATCAAAATTTTAATTCAAATATTTGATGGAAATATGGGCAGTTTGACAACAGTGTATATCAGATTGTGCAAATCTATCATAAAGGTACTGCATCTGTGTTACTTTGTCACATGTGCTTTTAAATAATCCACCTCCAGCGACATTGGTTAGTTCAACCCAAGAGGATATGCTCACTGTCTAAATTAATCTTCTATCTTTCCTAGAACACAAAGGAAACACTGTCTACATCATTCTGTTTTTTGTGGATATAAATAATCATGGCATCTGAATATCTTTTTGAAGATCTTCCGAACAACAGAATAACAGAGTTGGAAGGGACCTTGGAGGTCTTCTAGTCCAACCCCTTGCTTAGGCAGGAAACCCTACACCACTTCAGACAAATCGTTATCCAATCTCTTCTTAAAAACTTCCAGTGTTGGAGAATTCACAACTTCTGGAGGCAAGTTGTTCCACTGATTAATTGTTCTCACTGTCAGGAAATTTCTCCTTAGTTCTAAGTTGCTTCTCTCTTTGATTAGTTTCCACCCATTGTTTCTTGTCCTGAGTTCGGGTGCTTTGGAGAATAGCTAGACTCCCTCTTCTTTGTGGCAGCCCCTGAGATATTGGAACACTGCTACCATGTCTCCCCTAGTCCTTCTTTTCATTAAACTAGACATACCCAGTTCCTGCAACCGTTCTTCATAAGTTTTACCTTCCAGTCCCCTAAACATCTTTGTTGCTCTTCTCTGCACTCTTTCTAGAGCCTCCACATCTTTTTTACATCATGGTGACCAAAACTGGACACAGTATTCAAAGTGTTGCCTTACCAAGGCATTATAAAGTGGTATTAACACTTCATGTGATCTTGATTCTATCCCTCTGTTTATGCAGCCTAGAACTGTGTTGACTTTTCTGGCAGCTGCAGCACATTGCTGGCTCATTGCTGGCTCATATTTAAATGGTTGTCCACTAGGACTCCAAGATCCCACTCACAGTTACTACTATTGAGCAAAGTACCACATATACAGTACCTATGCATTTTGTGTTCTTCCTTAAATGTAGAACCTTACTTTTTTCACCAAGACTGAGATGTAAGAATGTCAGAAGAAACTTGTGCATGTTGTAACTTGACCTGGTGGAGTCAACAGTCCAGTCCCAGAACGACAATCCTGGCTGGGCTGTATTTCAAGGAGCCACATCGCAATTGCTATCAACCCGATAAGATATCATTTAGATAAATCTTACTATGAAAGATCATAATGGTCTTTTCTTCAGGAAACATCACAATAAAATGCGAAGTCAGGGAGAACAGGTCTCAGATCAAGGGCATTCATAAAGGCATGTGAAGATCCTTCACACTATTCCCTATCTGAATAAGCAGAATACACAAAAGAAGTTATGAAATAGTATTAAGTAAAACAAAAAGAGGAGGAGGAGGAGGAGGAGGAGGAGGAGGAGGAGGAGGAGGAGGAGGAGGAGGAGGAGGAGGAGGAGGAGGAGAAGAAGAAGAAGAAGAAGAAGAAGAAGAAGAAGAAGAAGAAGAAGAAGAAGAAGAAGAAGAAGAAGAAGAAGAAGAAGAAGAAGAAGAAGAAGAAGAAGAAATCTATCCCATAGTCATCACAGATGGGCCCCACAGATATTGACCTCTCCAAATGACTTTGATCAATCAAACAGGGTTATGTGAATAAGACAGCAAGAGGGAGACTAAGCTACCAGTTCTATTTGTATTCATTCCCTACAAACAATAAGAACAATACCAGTCCCTTTGGGCACGTTTTGTCAAAGCATGCCACTTCTAAAACCTAATTTAATCCCAAGGCCCCTCCCTTTATTTCATGCATGCTGGGATCTTAATCTCAAAAGTCAACATGCTGCGGTCCACATTCCACCAACATCCAGGGCAATGACACCCACAAAGGATAAACGGAAACCAAACTATACAGCGTGGTGGATGACACCTCTTGCTTTTAACAAGAAACTTCGAAGAGTCCTAACCTTAAATCCATTTCTATAGGTAGTCGACCAGGTAGGAAGGGAAACTATGCACTTCCTTTGCAAAACCTCTTGTATGCAGCCCCTGGGGAAGCTGCTCTGTTAGATCCTAACGCTCGGCTATTTCCTTTCGCAAAGCTGAAATCCAATTGAAAAGTTTCTTTAGACAGCCATTGTGTAGAAACATGATGTCAATATTAATAAAGGCTGAATTTCCCCTTGGCTCACTTCTTACAGATAAGCTTTTCAATAATACTCTGCTTGCACCAAAAAGTCTGGTGGGACTGGGAATAGTAAAGAAAAAAAAAACACTAATAAAAGAATGTTGAATGTTTTTATATTAAATTTCCCCACAGGCACACTGAAAAGCCTACTTAGAGGATGCCAATCAACCTGGTACTTATTAAATGTAACAAGAGTCCCGTTACAACAGATCTTTTCAAGCCCCTAGAAACAAATTGGAAAATAAAGACAAAAGACAATTACAAATGCATTTGGTTGCACACCCTGGACACATCACCTGATACCAAGTAACATGAAGCCTCATTGTTTGATCTTCAAAAGGGGTGTGTGTGTGAGTGTGTGTCTGTGTGTGTCTGTGTGTGTCTGTCTTTCAGCCTACAGCTCTATCTAAATGCCACTTAGAAATGTCAGCAAAGAATTTCGTTCCTCGTTTTTCTACAAGTTTCCCATCTAAAAAAAAAAAAAAGCTCGAGATTGAGATAGACTTGTTAAGTTTTCAAAAGTTTTCAAAGGCTTTGCACATCACCTTACAAGCTATACGGATGAATAACAGATCTGTTTAGAACCATCTAAAGGGACCACCGCTTTGCCTTCCAATTAACCAAAGGTTTTCCTTCCAGTTAGTAAAATCCAGCTTTTGAGACAATGGAAGAGAGGGTCTATTCATTTAAGACTTTTGGAAATGATCTGCAGTTTGATTCTCAAGTCCTGATATCTGGTGACTTTTTCAAGTTGTTTCTCGTTGATTCTGCTGTCACCAGGTATGGCAATGTCGATGATCCACACTTTTTTCTTCTCCACAATCGTGATATCTGGGGTATTGTGTTCCAAAACTTTGTCAGTCTGTATTCGGAAGTTCCACAATAGTTTTGCATGCTCATTTTCGATCACTTTTTCAGGCTTATGATCCCACCAGTTCAACTCAGTATATGATCAATGGTTTCATCCGCTTCTTTGCAGAGTCTATTATTATTATTATTATTATTATTATTATTATTATTATTATTATTATTCATTAAACATGAAACCCAGTCAACTGAACATTTAAAAATGTATCACAAATATCAGTGATTGGCACTGATGGTTGATATAGGTTGCTGCCAGCATCCTAGGTATCAACCAAGTATCTTCTTAAAATGTACGGTATGTTGTTCCGAGTAGAGCAGTTTTTTGCAGTTCCGCTGGTATTATTGCAGGAAGCTGCAATTACAGCAATATCATTAAATTGTATGCTTCGGTTTTTGACAACTGTGGTATGTGGTGTGTTGTGTTTCAAATGATGATCTGTCTGTATTCGAAAGTCCCACAAGATATTCACCTTCTTCTACTACTACTACTACTACTACTACTACTACTACTACTACTATTACTACTACTACTATTATTATTTACTTTATTTGTTAAAGATTAAACTCAGTCAACTGAACATTCAAAAATGCATCACAAATACCATTGACTGGTGCTAATGGTTGATACGGGTTGCTGCCAGCATCCTAGGTATCAACCAAGTACCTTCTTAAGATGTACGATGTTCCAAGTAGCGCAGTTTTTTGCAGTTCCGCTGGTGTTATTGCAGGAAGCTGCAAGTTGTTGATGTATCTTATAAAATTCTTGGACATGGTACCAAGTGCCCCGATGACAATGGGTATCACAGTTATATGTTTCATCCATACTCGTGTAGTTTCGATGGCCAGGTCGCAATATTTCATGATTTTTTTTCCAGGTCTTTTTCTTCGACTCTGGCGTCTCCTGGTACCGCGATGTCAATAAATTGTATGTTTCAGCTTTCAACAACTGTGAAATTATTATCATCATCATCATCATCATCATCATCATCATCATCATCATCATCTTCTTTATAATTATCATCATCATCATTCATCTTTATCGTTCAATTGGTTTGAGGGTGTTTTTCTTCTCCATAGTATTTACAATTAAGTTTTGCCCATATTATGTTTCTACACCAATCCACATTTCTTGGTAAGAAGGATGCGTACCTCTGTACATCTCCATATGTACAAAGATGATGCTGACTGGAAGATTAAAAGAGTTGTGTAGGCATCACTAGATAGTACAAAATTGGGCAACAGCAGATCTAAATCACAGATCGATCCTTAACCAAATTGTCTTCTTCTCTGGATGCCACTTCTGGGAAAACAAGTATCTTCTTCTCCTTACATCTACATTTAAAAAAAAAACAACAAGCCAAAATTCAAAAGAGGCTGACTCTAGGATGTATTTAAAAAAAAATAAAATAAAGAGAACAAAAGAACCAACCTTCCCTGTCTTTCTCGCTCTCTTTTGAGCCAGCCCTTTTCAAACTTCTTAACACAGGCAAATTCAAAGGACCTCATCAAAGTTTCCGGTGCTTGGAGGAACATCACGTGTTTCTTAAAAGGAGATTAGCTTCTTTTCTTGTTGTCTTAGCAGAAAAGGGGGTTAAATGTTAAGGCCCATCTCCTGGGGGGAAACTGATGAACTCAGCAAGTCTTCATGGCAGAGAGCTGAGGTCCCTGCTTACTCTAACGGTCCAACTGCAGGAAGCCACAGGGACACATCAGAAGATACTCAATGAGGCCAAATTAAACACCAAAGGTACATTTCAGACACAGGATGGGCAAAGCTGTTGTCTAGCCTTTGTTTTGGCTGAGTTAGTTTAGAGTTGTTGGGGTTTTTTTTTTGCTTATCTCAATCAAGGAAGTAAAGTTCAAACAAACAAACAAGTGGAATAGAGACTAGTCTACTCCTGGCAAGTCAACAAAAGGGGTTTTCTTTTTTTAAAATAATAATAATTTGTTTGGGGGAAACCTGGCAATCTGAAACACCTGAATGAGAGACTGGACTTGAGAAATCATGCCAGTCTCTTCTTTTAACCCTTAACCACAGACGTACTATTTCGACTATGCTATTATAGACATGAGGTCATAATGACCTCTCTAGCTGCTGGCCGTAGTCCAAGTAATTGCACTATAATACTGTGACTATCGGTTCTGGATCTATTGCTTCCAAAAGGTGCAGAAGACCATTTGAATTTGTTCTTCCCTATAAATTATTGCATGACGTAGATTGTACCTGATCATCAATTTCATCAGGAGCTTCATCATCACTGATGTTAGAATCAGCGACGGTGGTGGGTTCCTCATCGTCCATTACAAAATTTTCATTGCAATCTGATTCCACTTCACTCAGATCACTCTCTGCTTCTTCATACCATGTTAGAACAGTTTCTTCAAAGTTTGGGTCACCAAATCATACTCTTTTTGGTGGAAAATGTGGCCCCAACATTATAAAAAAATATATATGTTAACAAAGATCTGTGGTCAAAATGACTACAATTCAAATTCAAATGCTACTACAGAAAACACCAAATAACTTATGTAAACGCAATGCTGCATACACTCTTATTGGCGGGAACACAAAAGCTACTCGCAACCAGAATGGTCCATTTCTAAAAATAGGGGTGTTCCAAACCATTCTGTGGTTATGGGTTAAAGTAAAGGAAATGGATGATTGAAGAAAACCAAATATAGATTGAGAATGTAGTTTGTGAGCACCCAAAAATATTGTCTACCTTCCATTTTGTTTTCCGCCAGCTGATGTGGCCCTCCCTACAATACCAAAGGTGCCATGGTTTGTAGTAGCATCTTTGAAGTCCCAATTGACTGGAGGGAACTATTGAATGATGGTTAGACAAATAAGTAGGCTGCTTCTCCGAATAAGTAGGGTGTCCACTTAATTCTGGGGCTGCTGCTGAAAGGAGAAGTGGAAAAGGACAAGGATAAGGATAAGAAAGATGATGAAGAAGAAGATGAAAAAGTAAGAGTAGCAGCACCATATTTGAGCTTCAGTATTGAACTCCAAATTTGTCATTGAGTGTGAGGATGTAACATAGCAATCATTGTTTTGATTTGGATTATGATGGAGTTAAAGTAGCTGAAGAGGTAGGACAATCTTATTTACTCCCGCATTCTTTCTCTGGTCCTCTTCTTTCTTTCACTTACTTTAACCCAGTTGATCTGGGTTAAATAAATAAATAAATCTGAATAGTGGCCACAAATTTATTTCCTTGGCTTTCAAGGTAGATGCAGATTGTTTTAAAACACACAATACAGGTGTTCTTGTCTATTGCTTCTATTCCTTGAAAACATGTTGGGTTCAGGTCCCAACAATCATCACAGTAGGGTTCACTCCTAACCATATCAGCCTAACATGATGTGTAATAACACCATGTATTAGTATATGATACTAACCTGATGGTGCAGGGCTTAAAGTCTCTGTGCTTGTCAGCTAAACAGCTGAACAGTCCATGTTCGAGACCTGAACTCCGTGCAACGGGATGAGCTTCTGTTACTTGCCCAAGCTCCTGCCAACCTAGCTGTTTGAAAGCCTGAAAATGTGAGTAGATAAATAGGTACCACTTCGGTGGGAAGGAAACAGCATTCCATGCACCTTTGGCATATAGCCATGCTGGCTACATGACCATGGAAAGTGCCTTTGGACAACACTGACTTCCTCAGCCAAGAAACAGAGATGAGCAGCATGCCCTAGAGTCCGATACAACTGGATAGGGAAATCTTTACTTTTTTTGTTTACTAACACCTCAGTTCCTCTCTTTATTTTTTATTATTCTGAGCACTGACTATATAAACACCAAAGGCCACAAACTTTCTGAGTCAACATTTGTCTTAATTTCACACTAATTATTTCAATAGATTCCAGTTCCTCCTACATACAGTGACCGTATACTGACTAATTTTTATGAGATGCAACCTCTACCTCTGGATCATGAGCTAAATGTTAGTTTTGCTATGGTGCGCTTTTGCTTCCCCCCTTCTTCATTCTTTGGATGTTGACTCCTGGCAACTGCCAGGATTAGTCCCTGCAATGTCTGTAGATGTTATTAATGTCTATGTATCTATTGATGGCTGATTTGTCAGAGTTCTAATGTCAGGGTTCCAAGTAACACCCCCAATAAAAGAAAACTCCAAGGCTTGAGTTTCCTCAAAGTTCCATTTTATTAGAGATGTCATATTGGCATATTTGGGAAAACCCAAATCTGAAAGCTTCCAGGTTTTCCCCACCCAAAGGAAAGTCCAAGTCCCTGCCCAGCACCTACATGTCCATCACATGGTCCAATCCAAGCACCGTCCCAACTGGATATGGCTCCCAGTTCCAGCCCTCCAGGTGCAGGGCAAGATGTCCTTGACTTTCTGAGAAAGGAATGTTATTATGACTATATATCACCCTGACTCCAAACAACCCCCCCTCCCACAGTAGTAAATGTGGCAGGCCTGAAGATCCGACAAAAAAGATGGCTTCCAGGCCTGACAGGCAGGCTTGTAGAAATTCCCTGGCAGTTTTGAACTTGGCTTGGTCTAGGATGCTCACATTTTCCCAATTGAAACTTTTGTGGCAAGATTTCAGGAGTAGTTTACCATTTCCTCCTTTTTCCTTCCCTTCTTCCCTCTTCCTAAGCTTGAGAGAGAGAAGGGAACTGGCCTAAAGTCCCCTAGCTGGCTTCATGCCTAAGGTGGGACTAGAACTCATGGTCTTCTGGTTTCCAGACCATTGCCTTAACCATTACATCAAACTGGTTCTTTCCTGGTGGCATTAGCTTCCTTTAAAAAAATGTTATGTAATTCGCTTCATGAAACAAAATCTAATTTTCCCTCCCGAGACTCTGCTTCTACCCAAGGGAATGGCCTTAACAGAAAGCAAGACAGTTGATTTAACCTTCCTAGCGGTGGCAAAATCAGCCTGGCCCTCTCTGATAAACAAATTGAAAAGATGTCACTGCACGACACTTTTCCTACCATTTCTGCATTCACCTTTTTGCCCATTTAAACTTCAATCGTTTAATGGTGAATGGACAAATTATTTGGCTGATCAATGCAAAAGAAACGTGTTTTCACTTACTTACTGTCCTAAGATGCTGTGAAAATCCCGATGAACAAATGCAACCTTAACTTCAGGGGTGGGATTCTACCGGTTCGGACCGGTTTGGGAGAACCGGTAACTCCGATGATCAGCTGGGAGCGAACCAGTTCGTTCCAACGATCAGGTTGGCCCATCCACCTGCCCCAGTACTTTACTTACCTTTATCTTCTCACTTGATTGGATTGCCATGCCTCAGCTGTGTTACTCCCAAGTGGTAACACAGAAGGGTAGTATTTGTAAAACTGTGTGAAGTGCACGATCACCGAACCAGTTAAACCGGCAGCATCCCACCACTGCTAACTTCCATATAATTTGTGCATCCCTAGTTATTTCACCTCAATATGCTGATTAACTTGTTCAACTTTCTTTAATTTTTGTAAAAAAAAAAAAAAATGACAAAAAGACACCGGGTCCATTGGAAAATTAGGCTAGATGGGCATAGCAAAGTAATTCCATGCTTTATTTCGTCCTACGTAGCTTCTTCCCTGCATCGTTGCTGACAATCAGTGCAGTAGCAGAAAAATGCATGGAGGCTTTGCAGCCTGATGTGCAAACAGCGCAATTAAACCCTAGAGGGATTTCTGTCAGCATAACTTACCTTAAACAAATTCACTTAGCCTTCCCAGAGATGTATTCAGCCTCTTGTGGGTTCCAGCTGTGTACAAAGAGTTCTGCTAGGCTTCCTAAGGTAATACCTCCTTACTCCCTTGCTCAAATGGGAATACAGAGGAGGCTGAGCCAAGAGGAAGTTTGGCTTCGATATCTGGAATGCTTCCATATCTCCTTTTTGCAGAGTTGGTCTGGGTCTGTAGCTTCAGCGGAGGGTTAGGGTCTCTCTTCTGACCCACAGGGCTCCATTTGGGGTGTCAAAAGACCTCAATCCCCTTAGACAACCCCAACGCATGTTTTTTAGAAGTTCTTTGGCATCCAAAGGAAAGGACCGCTGAGAGTTACGCTTTGATTTGCTTGAGCTTCTGGTGCCACCTCCGATCTCTATCAGATGATAAGCATGCCTGGGTAGATAGATATGCCACAATAAAGTAAGCAGCCCTTCAGGTAGATTTGATTTTGTGGCTTTTGAGGCTGTGAACATTATTACCCGTGGATGAATGCCGCTACATTCAAAAGTAGAAGAAACATAACTTCCGAACCAGAAGTGGTATTCAGCAGGTTCTGACCAGTTCTGGAGAACTGGTAGTGGAAATTTTGAGTAGTTCAGAGAACCGGTAAATACCACCTCTGACTGGCCCCGCCCCCATCTATTCTCTGCCCCCCAAGTCCCAGCTGATCAGGAGGAAATGGGGATTTTGCAGTAACCTTCCCCTGGAGTGGGGTGGGAATGGAGATTTTACAGTATCCTTTCCCTGCTACGCCCACCAAGCCATGCCACGCCTACCAAGCCACACCCACAGAACCGGTAGTAAAAAAATTTGAACCCCACCACTGTTCCCAATGAGTCACAGGTGGCCCAGAGAATCCAAGAAAAACTAAGTGACTTCACTTTCTTTATGATGCTGCTGTGCAGATGATTTAGTTACATCATTTGCACGTGTTGTGGACCGCCAGTGGCCAGCAGAGTGGGTGACAGACTCAGACAGTGAGGAGGTTGGGGAGGAACATAGGCCAGTCTTGGAGTCTGGGGAAGGCTCTGATGAGTGCTCTGGGTCGGAGGCAGAGAGGGGGCCAGGGCCACCTGGCAGTTATCAGCTGCCTTTGGAGTTGGAATTCAATGGGGCAGAAGAAGAGCTGGAGCTGTTCCCAATGTGCACATGCGCAGAGCTGCCAGGAGAAGGGAACAGTTAAGGAACAAGGGCCGACTCGGGAATAAAGGCACAGGTGGACCGTGAATGCCCCCTCCCATAGGGAATAAAAAGGAGTGAAATGAGAGGGGAGTTTGCAGGAGACAATTAGTTCGCTTAATTGGTTCGTGACTCTCAGAGACTCCTTGCCAAGTACTTTCTTGTACAGCGTTGCGTTTTGAAGATATCGGCCTGGCAGCTCTCCAAGCCAGATAAGGTCTGTGTTTGTGAATTTGCCCTGGAAAGACTGTTTGCCGGGACTTTGCTGGATGTGAATGAGGAGAATTCACAGTAACTTAATAAAAAGGAGTTTTGTCGGGACAAGGAGTCTGCTTCATGGTTTGGGGAAGCCTAGGTCAGAGACAGCATGCTAAGTCATGTTGTAGTATAGGAGTAGATACTTCCACACCATAGATGCCCACTCAGTTGTATTACTCAACAACTACACGATTCTTAAACCCCAGGATTCTTAGGGCAGACTGCTTATTTACAGTAAAGTTGGACTGAAAGGAAAACCTCCCCAAGTTTATAATAATACAAAAAGGTGAGTAGACAGAAAACAAAACAACAGCAAATATCCAGCGTAATGACCAGAATCCAAGATTGACAAGTTAGGTTTGCTTCGGCTAAAGCCAATCATGTATAAAAGCTCCTCTTTTGATTGGAATCCAAAGTTTCATGCAATCCTAGAAGGCAGGACTGGAAAGCAACAACCCTAACCCTAATAAGACTACACTTGGAATACTGCAACCAATTTTGGTCACCATGCCAAAAAAAAAAAAAAAAATGTTGAGACTTTGGAAAAAGTTCAGAGAAGAGCAACCAAGATGATCAAAGGCCTGGAGATTAAAACCTATGAAGAACAGTTGCAGGATTTGGGTTTGGCTAGCCTAAAGAAAGGAAGAATTAGCAGCATTCCAGGATTTGAGGGGCTGCCACAAAGAAGAGGGGGGGGGTCAAATTATTCTCCAAAGCACCAGAGGACAGGACAAGAAACAATGATTGGAAACTAATCAAGGGGAGAAGCTTCCTAACAGTGAGGACAATTAACCAGTGGAACAGCCTGCCTGCAGAAATCATGGGCACTCCATCACTGGAGGTTTTTAAGAAGAGACTAGACAATCATTTATCTAAAATGATATAGGTTCTCCTGCTTGAGCAGAGGCTGGACTGGAAGAGCTCCATGCTCCCTTCCAGCTCGTTCCGTTCCATTCCATTCCATTCCATTCCATTCCATTCCATTCCATTCCATTCCATTCTATTCTATTCTATTCTATTCTATTCTTTGAAAAATAGAAAAATGTGAACCTTTCTTGAAACTCTTTCTCTAATATGTTCATTTTTTTGATGAGCCTCTTTTCCTTCTTCCAAAATGGGATTAAATACCACTGTTCTACAGTTTTTGTAAAATTATTGAAGCAATAGACATTTGCAAGAAGCAATGAGTGAAAGCTCCTCAGTGGGAGATCCAACGGAGAACTAAAGAGAAATTTCTGGGTATGTCTAGTTTAATGAAAAGAAGGGCTAGGGGAGACATGATAGCAGTGTTCCAATATCTCAGAGGCTGCCACAAAGGAGTCAAGCTATTCTCCAAAGCACCTGAGGATAGGACAAGAAGCAATGGATGGAAACTAATCAAGGAGAGAAGCAACTAATAACTAAGGAGAAATTTCCTGACAGTGAGAACAATTAACCAGTGGAAGAACTTGCCTCCAGAAGTTATAAATGCTCCAACACTGGAAGTTTTTAAGAAGATGTTGGATAACCATTTGTCTGAAGTGGTGTAGGGTTTCTTGCCTAAGCAGGGGGTTGGACTAGAAGACCTCCAAGGTCCCTTCCAACTCTGTTATTCTATTCTATTCTTGACAGTGAGAACAATTAATCAATGGAATAGCTTGCTTCCTGGAATTTTTGGTTGCTCTGTTGCTGGAGGCAAAGACTGGATAGCCATTTGTCCAACATGGAAAAAGAGCTTCTGTCTAGGGCACGG